AATTCAACTTTTTGATTCCTGTCCCTAAAAAATTCGCTTATCCACCTCACAACTCTAGCATCAACTCCTGAGGTTAATACTTTCCTAATAAGTAAATTATGCGGTACCACGTCGAAATGCTTCGCGAAGTCGATTACTACTGCATCCACCCTCTCCCCCCGCCGTCAACTACGGTCAGCTAGATCTTGAAAAGAGAAACAATTTGACTTTCGCACGAATGTTCACTTCTAAATACATGCTGTCCGTGGAAAATCCAGTTCGCCTTCTCCCATTCGCGACGAATGTACGCCGGCTATTAAATGCTCCATTATTTTGCATACTACTGATGTGAGGGAATACAGGACTATAATTACATACTTTCGTTTTATCACCATTTTTGAAATTGGAACCACTAATGCTGACGTCCAATCGTCTGGTCAACTTGCATTATTAATGGAAATATTGAATAATCTTAACAAATAGGGCAATATCGGCCTCACCACCGAGTTTAATAAAATCTGTGAGATACCGTCTGGCCCGCGTGATTTACCGTTTTCCAGTGATTTTATACGATTGCGGAGTTCCCATGCGTGGAGTTTGAATTTGGTTTTCTACGGAAAAATAATGAACTTTGCTCCTGCGCCCGTTCTGGTTTGAATACCGATACGAAAACGCGTTGAACGGCATTTGCTTTTGCTTGGTCGTCGGCAGTGGCTCGTTATCTGCGACTCGAATTTCCTGAATTTCTTCCTTTTCCCCCGGCGTCTGCGGACATATTTGTAAAAGGCTTGATATTATTTCGTCCGTTTCCAACATGTTTCTTAAAAATAATTCATGAGCAATTTTCTTTTCTTTTTCTAATTCCTTGTAGAATTTTATAAACATTATCATGTCAGCAATGCTGCGATGTCTCCTATTAAATGCTAGCCTAACTTTTCTTTAAACGTCGTATTGCCCCGTTAAAATATTCAGGATCAGAATTACTTTTCAGTATTTTGCAAGGAACGTATGTATCTAAAGCGGTTTCTACGATTTTTTAAAAGGTCCCCATTGCTCCTCTATTCCCCCTTCTGTTCTTAGAAAATGATCGTATTTTTCTCTTAAGAAACTATGTAGTTCTTCAATGTTCGCTTCTATATTGCCTGACTATCGTTCCTTTTGCCTTAGGTCGCTTAATTGCATTTACCTGCACTTCTACCATCACTGCTTTGTGGTCGCTAATTCCCTGAAAGACTTCGCAGGAAAGGAACATTTCTGCTGGATAAACAAGGAAAATGTCCAAAATTGCTCCCTGCCGCGTGGGTTTGTCGACTACCTGCGTTAATCGTTTCGTTGATAATAAAAAGGAATATGTCATAGTTCCGAATGATTGGCTTCTATATGTGCTATCATTAACTTCTATATGTGCTAGCATTAACCCCACAATAGTGAATTTCCTCAAATCCATCAAAAACGCAAAAGTGGATTAATCTAGTTGCTAAATTAAAGAGGAAAACATCCTCTCACACGTGGTGTAGCCAGAATCCATATTTCGTGGGTCCTTATTACCGTTAAATCGAATAACGGCAAAACGTCTGTTTGTCCGTCAGTCCGTCCGATTACTTTAGGATTACATTTTGTTGTTGAGCAGTGTGAATGACGTTTAAAAGAATGGTGCAGATATAATTTTTGTTGAAATCTGATTTTTCGAAAATTGCAAAAATCCAATAATTTTTCGGCGTCTTCCAACAACTACAACTATGAAGATTAGAAATGTTTTCTTAATAAAATCTGTTCCTTAAAAAAATATTTTGAAATAAGATCGTGTTCAACGTTTCGAAAACTTCAGTACTTTTTGCGTAATTTTGCATGAAAGTACGGGCGAGAAAGTACGTGCTTTTTTAGCCCCACTAATTTAATATTATCCAATAGCGATAAAATTATATTTATCCTCCATCAAATAGACAGTTACTGTCTACATAATAAGAAGAACACATACGTTTCTAACAACACTGATAACCATAAATAAGGTGTGGAGTTTCTACGTTTCCTAAATAATCAAGTAGCGAAGTAGTTTGACCATACTTCCTGAATACATTTGATAATTTAAGGTCTCATTCCCTAATCTGTCTCATATATATTCGGAAGTCATCCGAATTTCCTTAAGTAGATTCAAACCAGTTACAGTATGCGACGAACAAGCTTCATCGATTCTGGAATGAGTAACGAAGTTTGTAGCAGACATTAACTATCTGTTTTGAGCTCACTTTATGAGTGCACCCATGTGTTTTTGATTTCACAGTACTCATAACAAATTTTTGGTAAGATTTTTATTCTACTTTTTCAGTAGTTTTACTGAAGAGTCGAGGCGATTGCATTTCCAAAACTTCTAGGGCTATTTTAAAAGTATTAATAGCTGATGCTGAAAATCAACAAGAAAATTACTAACTATTAATTATAATTGAAACTAAAATCAAAACCAGACTAATTCATATACAAGACAATTGTACTTTTTCATGACTTCATGAAACATTGAAATACAATTTTAATAATGCGAAAAATGTATTCAATTTTTATAAGGTGAAACCCTCGCTGCATTTTTGAACTAAGTATCAAACCTTGATTTTCCAAATTTCATTTGCTTACATTTAATTTGCCATTTTTTTACATTTTCGGACGTAATATATTTTGTCAGATTCCACGTAGGTTTATTTGCCCAGCTCACCAAACATTCATTTTCTTTGAACTATTCATCTTTTCATATTTATCCTCCTGTTCAAGATTTGTGAAATAAAACTTTATATTTTGAGTAATTTTACTGCAGTTACTTCTATGCTTTAAAAATTTTAGATGACTGATTAGTTACTGATTATTATTTATTATGAAAATGTCGATAATACAATGTAAAATTTTAGGACCTTTGTTCTCACTTTGTACTTGGGTCAAAACGTGTTGATAAAGGCTTACTCATACTTTTCCACTGCAAGGGAATAGTTGCAAGAGTCAGGTTGAAGATATTAAAGTACAATATTATGTACTGTTTTAATATACATGTTTATTAATACCATTTGCCCCATGCTGGACAAGCCAGTTTAAAACTATTTTAACTATACTTGAAAATACGTATTACCACAATTTGCCCCTGGCCATGTTTAACAAGTTCATTTCAATTAAACTTTTTTTCTAAAATAAAAGATAAGGAGTGATGTACTGATAATCACTAACGTAAATCCCAGTGTTATAGATCGAATAGTTTAGAAGCTAGATCGAGTCAAAAATGTCAATAGTTTTTCAAATTCTTTGAAAAACACGAGTTTTGGAAAAACGGCTCTAGAGAGCACACGCTCGCACTAAACGCTAGCACCAAAACCGTTCAACCAATTAAAAAAAATGTATTTCTCACCGAGAAAAATAGTTTTCTCACGGTGAAAGGAAAACTTAGGTTTCATCCCTAATGGTATCCCTCATGTTTACGGATATTATTACTTTTCGTTCTTAGGAAGGTACAAAGCATTCAACTGCCTCATAACACTTTACAATTAAGATCAAGAAGCGTAGGATTCTCTGAGCGGGCGGCTAATTTTGACGCCCAATTACGTCACAAATATCCACATTTTCCTAAAATTCAAAACTATCTCATTTGAAAATCTGGTTTTGATGAACACATTTTCCTAAGAATTAAAAAAAATGTATTTTCATAATTGTAGTTGTAGGAAGACGGCGAAAAATTTGAATTTTTTCGATATTCGCAATGTCAGGGTTTTCAAGCAATAAAAGACCTGCACCATTTTATTAAACGTCCTTTAGACCATCAACCAACAAAAATTCATCAAAAGCGATGTCAAGGAATTCAGGAAAAAATGTTTAAATAAAAATTACAAATGGCCTTTAATTCACGCTTAAGTACGCCCAAATTTTCGAAATTCTATTTTTCGAAAAATTGTACGTGACCTAACTATACAATCTACCGAAAAGGATGATATTTTATTAAGGGAAAATATTTATCTTTAATATTAATAGTTGTAGGAAGACGCAGAAAAATATATTTAATTTTTTTATTTATTTATCGAAAAATCACTTTTCAACCAATGTGCGATTTGCCTCATTCTCTTAAACGTTCTCAGACTAGCCTACAACAACAAATGTTAATCAAAATAGATAGCGTATTTCTTTGAAAATGTTAAAAATGTCGAGTGGCTTCTTGTTACCCACTCCTCTCAAAAAATTATAATATATATTTCAAATTCAAGGGCCCACGATACAGCGTAGTCGAGGAATAGTCAGTTTTGACGTCAATCGATTTTTTGGTATAAAGGAACATAGAAAATGGATTTTTGCAACATCATGTGTTAAGAGGTTTTCTTTTTTCTTAATTTAGCAACTGAATGTATCCACTTTTACGTTACCAGGGCCCTGCATTTTTTTCTGCCGAAAATTCGTAGTTTTTTTGTGCAATATTACATACTTTCTCATTTTAAGAAGTTCTTTCTTAAAACTAAAGTAAAATGCAAGAATGCAATTTTTTAATTGAAAGAGGGAGGCCCAACTGACTGTCTCTGAAGTAGCTTAATTGAATAACAAACCAATGGCTACAGACTATGTACTAGCGTCACTGACATTTTTAAGAAACCTCACGTGGCTGTAATCATTATCAACACATTCCCTTCGCAAACCGAGTGACGCCATGCCTTTGGTGACCCGAACCTGGGACGAGAAACCGTGGGAGACCGAGGACGTGCAATGGCGGGAGGAGCTGCCGCGCCCAGAGGGCGACCCCACGCGAGGAGCAGAGTGGAGCGCTGGTGCGGCGGGGGCGACTACGCCCCGGGCGACGGCGGCGGCCGCTGGGCGCCACCCGCTGCTATCACCATGGCGCATGATGCGCTCGCTGGCGTCTTGCGCCCTCGCGACGCGTCTGGCAGAAGGTGATAGTAAGCACACACCCCACTCGCTCGCCTTCGCCATGCGCATGTCGTCGCTCCGCTGGCGACTGGGCGCCAAGTGAGTTAGCCCACACCGCCACTCCTCGCCTTCGCCATGGCATGCGTCGCGGCTCGCTGGCGGTGGCGCAAGGTAGTAAGCTCACCACCGCCATCTCTCTCGCCTCGTCCCATGCCATGTGCGCGCCGCTGTGGCGTCTGGCGCAAGGTGAGTAAGCCCACACCCGCCACTCGCTCGCCTTCGCCATGCGCATGCGTCGCATCCCTCTGGCGTCTGGCGCCAAGTGAGTAACAAACCACACCGCCACTCGCTCGCCTTCGCCAATGCGCATCCGCCGCTGCGTCGGCGCCTCCATGAGCGTTCTGGGCGCAAGGTGAGTAAGCCCACACCGCCACCCGCTCGCCTTCGCCATGCGATGCGTCGCTTCTTGGCGTCTGGCGCGGGGCAAGGTGGTAAGCCCACACGCCACTCGCTCGCCTTCGCCATGCGCATGCTTCGGCCTCGCTGTCGTCGGACATCGTTCTGCTGATGGTGAGTAAGCCCGCCACTTTTCACCCTATTCACCTTTGACCATGGGGCATGCAGCGCTTCACTACATAATCTGTATCAATTTGCGGTTGTATTTTATGGGCTCGCTGTAGTAATTCCCACGGTGGGTCTTCGAGCATTCTGGTTGAGAAGGGTCATCGAGTTTGAAGGTTACGGAAACGCAGAACATTTATGAAATATAAGAGATGTATTATTTGTTACTAGAAAAACCGCAAATATATGTGAAACAAACGTATTTAAAAAAGTGTTTTTTAACAATCCAGATTTTATTTGAAGTTTGAATAACTGAATGTCTCGGTTTATCATAATATCAATGAGAGGCAGATATGTAATATTAGAATGTTTATGAAAATGTTGATCTCTAATCACATTACTGTGAAGAAATTTTTATATATTGTAACAATTACCATCATTATGATTTAAATGAAAGTTATAGATAATACTAATAAATGTTTTCGTATTTCAACCTTTTGACTTATATATCTGATTCATGTTTTTAATTTTCCTGCTTTTCAGGGACAACTACCCAGAGACATTTGTATCACGTTTACACTTCGTCGTACCGCATCACTGTTTTATATTCTTCACTGTTTCTGGCTTAAATCAACATAAAATATCATGTGATTTGAGTCATCTGACGGACCTCATCTCTATATGGCGGGTGAGCGTGTTCAACGGCGCCAAGGTGCACTCCAATTGCTGTTCCCCGTCGCGTCCCGATGTTCGAAACGGTGTCTTTACCTCCTTGCCGGCTTCTCTCCGCTGGGACCGCCTCTTGTGAGTTTTACTTTAATAGATGAATTAGTTCATTAACGATTCATCCACGATCCTTTGGCATTCTCTGATCTTATCTGTGTCTGGAATTTTTGGTAAGTTTGATCGAAAACGGATAAATTTGGGATTTGACTATTGGATCTCTCTACTTCTTTGAGGATGGTCGTCACTCAGGGACTACAGGTATGATTAGAATCTAATCTTATAAGGGATGAAATTGATTCTGAACGACGTATGTGTATCCTTCTTCGTGCCGCTTCCTTTCCACTTTGGACACCCATTGCGATATCTATCCCTACAACACAAAGGCTCGCGTACACTACCTACAAGAAGAACGTGAAGAGTAATATTGTTATCACAAGTTTGGTTTCAATTAAAAGGAACTTCTTCAAGTTTATTTGACTACTAATTAATGAAATCATCTAAAAAAGCACGTCATTGTGCAGAAACACATTACGGACAGAAACTTTCTTCCGCAGATATTTGTAGATCGTCTTCCCGCATTTACCGATAGAATTTCATCGCCTTCCGATGTTTTTTTGGACAGAGTGCAATTCTACCCCACTTCCTGTCCGGTCGTGTATGGTGGCAAAAAAAAGTACCAAGTATTTTATTTTTCCCGTCAGAAGATTTATGCTCAAGAGTTAGAGATCACAGTTTTCTTAAATAATGAATCGACTAGGTTCTGCTCAAGATTTTTTTAGGAGAAAACGACAAAGCAACTTTTTCCTATATTTTCTTTGTATCATTACGCGGTTGTTTCCTCTCATTTCCAACAGCGAAAACAACATATAATCAACAGACAACGGACTCTGAAATCTAAACTATTGTAGGCTTTTGAACATATGTTCTCTATATAGTTTGTTATGAAAAGTGATTTATCTCTCCGCCGAGATCTTTGCCAGTGTGAGGATGTATTGACGAGAAATAATACTTTGATAATTATAAGATGCCATATGTATTTCTTTCTTAGGTACCATTACGGAATGGAGTAATTGTTGCCCTTGCTGGAAAGGCCAATGCTCTGGATTATACTTTGATTATTTTTTTGTTCTCACACATTCTGTTAAGAATGTTCCTCTCTGATACTTCTTATATGTTCCCCACCAAATTTTGTATGTAGTTGGAAAATCTTGTGCCAAGCAATCACATTGTAACCAGTTGTCGACAATGTAATGGTATTCCATTCTGTGTACAGCTCATGCATATATATATTATATATACTATAATATAATATAATATATAATAACATATATATTATTTATTTATATTTAATAGGTAATTTGTTAACAGAACAAAAGTTACTTTACATTTGATCCTATTGGGGCTAGGCCGAAAGGCCTTTTAAGCATTACAAATACTCTACATCACTTTCGCTATTCTAATCTTGTCGAATTCTGGTATTCACCCCAACATTTGTCTCTCATCGGCACAAAGCCGCGGAAAAGAAGACCATAATACGTCACGGCTTCAGGAAAAAAACCCCACATGAAGCGGAAAATCCTTTGCCGGTCAGAAGCCGAGACAATACTAATCTGATGCCGACGTTAAATTTTAGCATATATTATTTCTGGACGCGGGCTTTCCCGCCTCTCCTATTCCAGTGCATGTCGCTCCTCCAGCCCTGCAATCAAAACAAGCGCCACAGTAAGCTCGTCCGACCAACGCCTCTGCCTAATTTTCGATCCCCCCTTCCTTCCCACCCACCCCTATATGTGCTGTATTACCTATGCAATTTATTTTTTTATTATAAACATTTTTACTTACCAATTAAACTATGACTTATTGACTTATTTCTTAACTGTTTACTTACTTACATTAAAATTACTGATTAACTTACATATTAGCTATTGATTATTATATTTCTCTCCAGTCTAGGCTCCGGCTTCAAGCTAACCGGTGCTGTTTCCCACTCCCTAATTTCAGTTTCCCTTAATGGTCCGAACTCTTTTCCTAAATATGTTCCTAATTCTTCCCTATGAATTTAGACCTTTTATCACCTAAGAATTGTTATTGGGCGAGCGTTACGCTTCCTGTTTAGAAAGTAGTAATTTCCCATTCCCATCCCATTTTTTTCTCCATGTTCGGTGCACAACCAAATTAAGGAGGTATTGTGGATCCAGTCTTCCCATGACACCGCCAAAGCAGCACAGATGCCATTACACTTGCGTCCTTTAGTTTACCTGATCCTATCCCCCAACCCTGAACCAAGCGTATCCGCCTCTAGCGTCCTTTCGAGAAGTATGAACATAAACCTTCGCAAACCCCCAAACGGACTCGCATAGAATTTAGCTACTAGCGATACGTTTTTCAAGCCGTTAAGCTGACCCATCTGCTTTGCCTTTATTCCGCAAGTCTATTGGAAATCAGCCGTTCTATTTCACGGGTTTCCCTAATCTCCCAACAATAATCCGAAGCAGCAGACGCTCTCCACAACCCTGCGACGCGTCATGTAGCCGGATTTAACTTTGTACGAGCCCAATAGCGATGGTCGCTCCAACCTGCCAATTGCCACTCTAAAGCACCGATTATGAGGTGTGTCCAGGCCTGTTTCATCTGCTGATATATATAAATAATATAATATATAATATTATACTAGTAATATATATAATAATATATATATAGTGAAACGAAGGGACGTTTCTGCATGATAACAATCAAAAATTGATGACTAATTCTAATTAAAAAACACTAAAATTTGATCAGCGTCAGTAACACCACCGCCGCCGCCGCTGCCCACCACGAGTCAATCGGGGGGAGACGGCGAGGCAAGCCGACGGTTAGGCCAGTATCGCAGTAGAAGCCGCGAAGCGCATACACGGACGGCCTGTTGCTGCCTCTAAGCAAGTTGTATATACTGAATATTACCAACGGTGTGGAGATGATTGTAGCATTCAAGTGTGGAGCATTAAGTGCATAAAAATGGATCAAATCAGTGATTAATGAGAAATGGAACTCGCGCACCAGGACCAGCGGATTAGTGAAAAACATTATATATTGGACGTCTTGAAGTGGCCACAGACCACCGCTTCCATTCCGCCCGGGTGTGATGCAGCAGCGGCCGCACCGTCGCGAACATTGAGTGGGAATTGAGAAGAACTGCATTGGAGAATACGAACTGCTCGACGGGACGCAATTGTGCGGGTGCAATGTATATACCAGGTGATTTGCTAATGTACTGAGCTGGGGGGGTGGAATCCCCGGCGAGCATCGTTGCCCATTATGCATTGGGGTGCTCAGCGAGTCAAACCGCCGAAGGAAAAGATGACTTCCCGACAGGGACTCCGGGGCGGACCGGAAGTTTGACCGAACACGCCGCCGCCGTTGCCATCGGCCCCCCGCTCGCCTCCAGCCAGCCGCGTGGACATCGGAAGCCTCAAGATAGCGTTACTCGTGCACGAATCATAAAAGCCTTGCGCAACTGGTAGTTGCTAAATAATTTTGTCACATAATGTTTTAATCGATTAACTTTTAAATTGCCACAAAGAGTTCTTCGATCATATTTCTAAATGCAGCGTCAAACCACCTGGAAACCCATTCGCAGAGAATGTACCGATCCTTATTCATTTTATTTGTCTTGAGAGTACCGTTTCCAGGTACGCCACATATATTATAAATAAATATAGCTATAAATATATAATATATATAATATATATATATAATATATATTATATATTATTTAATAAGGTAATTCATTACAGACAAAACTTAGCTTACGTGATCCTATGTGGCAGGCCGAAGCTCCTTTACAGCCCATTGCATACCTACATCACTTTCGCGGTTTCTAACTTTCGAATTCTGAGTATTCACCCCAAATTAGTCTCTCCATCGCGATCAACAGCCGCGGAAAAGAGAACCATAAGGATACGGCTCAGAAAAAAACCCTGAAGGGGAAAACCTGCCGTCAGAAGCCGAGTACATTTCTAATCTATCTCCGACGTCTACTTTTAGCTATATTATTTTTGGGGCGGGGCGTCGCGTTCCTTCCAGTGCTGCCTCCTTCAGCACTGTGAATCAAACAGCGCCAAGAAGATCTCGACAACTGCCTTGCTCTTATATTTTCGCTATTATTTATAAATATATAATATATACTATATAGTATATTATAATATATTATATATAATAATATATATATTAAATATATATATAATATATATACTCTATTGTGATTGGCTCCATGCCTCTCTAAACTTTGGATTGTTTTGGCATTGTTTCTCATGTTTCAACCTTTTCGAATGGATGGTGCTTATTACACTCTAATATGACGAAAGTTCATTTCGGGTAACTTTTTTGTTTTAAAAAAGTTACACTAATGAATTTTTTTTGAAGATCTCTCACGCCGTTAATATGCACAGTTTCAGGAATTTGTAAACATTATTGTATTTGTGAGTTAATGTGATTTAAAAGACTTCAAATGAAGTTTTTCGATAACTAAAAACTCTTCTGTAAAAAAGAGCTTCAAATTTGGAATTTACGCTAGCACGTAAACACCGTACTTAATAGATTTTGTTCAGGAGAAAAAGCTTCATCTTCAATATTATAGTTGTAAGAAGACGTCCCAAATAAATTAAGTTTGCAATTTTCAAAAATCTGGGATTTCAACGAACATGAGACCTGTACCATTCTCTTAAGCGTTCTTTACCCAATCCGAAGATAAAGTTTAATAGAAAACATTTGGGGCCATTTTTGAGAAAATTTTGAACCTTTTTTGAGGCTTCATGTAAAGTGCCCTAAAATGAATATATCCATTTTAAAACTGCCAAAGCCTCGAGTTCATTCATACTGATTATCGAATACCAATTGCGTAGAAAATCGGTTGAATGATTTAGGTGCTAGCATTGACCATGGACGTTAATAGTGCTCACAGACGGACAGACGCAGGACACACGGACATTTTGCCGTCAATCAATTTTTCGGTATCAAATATCCACAAAATATGAATTATTGCTTCACTTCGTGTTAGAGGACTGTTTCAGTATATTTAGAAATAGGATTTATTCACCTTTTCATGTACCAGAGCCCTGCAATAAGAGTTTTTCTGCTGAATATTCGCCATTTTCCGGCGCATGATTACATCACTTTCTCTTCTTTCAAAGCACTTTCGTAAGAGTGAGAAAGTGAAATTTGGCCTTTCTCTGCATATTTTCTACCCGTAATAGCCCAGCGTTACTTGCATGTCTGCTCAGGAGACGCGCTCGAAGGACATCGACAAATTCAGTCGTCAAGTGCGCATAGTGACCATCGTGTTGGCGTGCTGGGGCTACTTCATAACTGCCGCATGGCTGTCCACCCCACTTCTGGCCAAACTGCTGGGCGACAGACGACAGGACGCAGACCTGGCTCCCGAATTCAACGCCACCTGCACCGAAGACTTCACCGCCGCCCCGACCACTGAGAAACCACCTCGGCCGCTGCCCTTCGCCGTGTGGTTCCCGCTCAACACCCGAGATGACTTAAACTACGGCATCGGCATTTTCATTCAGGTACAGTAAGACGCTTCTGCAGTTTGGCATATAGGAGAGGTGACCAACCTCTCACATTCCATGCGCCAAGCATACGAGTTGAGCTGTATCATACAATTTAATCTAACGCTCCTTAGTAGCGTGGAACCTACTATAGACAAGGTTATACCTGCTTTGATTATAAAAGAAAAACGAGTAGCTCAATCACGCGACGAAGTTATGTAAGTTCAAAATACACTCGTTACTTTGATAATATTCATGGGATAATGAACGCTTTTGGGCCTTCCTATCATGGGAAGTGTACACAGAAATTAATACACTTCTGGATTTACAAAAACTTCATTTTTTTATTGATCGACAAAAAAATGTGGGTTAGCACTACGCATCCCTGACACCGCCCTCCATTATAATAAAACCAGCGAATAATAATAATAAATATAATAATAATAAATATAATAATCATAAATATAGTAATAATAATAAATATAATATTATTATAAATATAACATTATAATAAAACTTGATATCAGATCCAATAGACAAACCGGCTATGGTAACTCAGGGCATCAACTGAAATGACTGCTGCTTCTGACCCGCGAGACCCCATGGTGGCACGATTTTTGACACTAGCTTCATGGCTAGACCGAATTCACATCCTTTTTGGACTGGAGCAGTACCTTACGGGCCAAGTAAGGGCGCGATCTTTCATTCTCTTTCCTTATCGAATCCTCACACCTTACTTTGTACTACACTAACACACTTGTCGGGAGCTTAGAGCACGTCCCGGCTGGGGCTGTGCCCAGCTGGTGGGAGATACCTGTTGGGGAAAACCCCAGGCAAGCCGACGGTGCTGGATTTCACCATCCAATAGGAGAAGATGACAATCACATACCGCAATGAAAACATGCACTAAACGTACGTGACTGGTCAATCCTTAGCTATTGACGCACCGGGAACCACTAATGAATGAATCCAACTCCAATAAACGAAAGCGTTTCTGTGTTCGTTCCGCCAGGCGCTGGGCGTAGTGGTGGACGACACGTACTCCGTGCTAGCCAACACCTTCTGGGTGGGCATGCTGCACGGCGGCTGTCTGTCTCTGCGCATGCTGCGCGCCTCTCTGCGCGAGCTGTCGCCCGAGTCGCAGCCCTCGCCCAACGCCCACCTGGCCAGGTGCATCCGCCAGCACCAGGCCATCCTCAGGTGCGGGCGCTCCAGTCAGCCTCAGCGAAACAACACGCGATGATCAGTTGTTACATGCACATCAGAGGGGGGGGGAAGGGGCGGTACGATTTTTTCTCAAACAATAAGCCAGGCCCTCAGTTCAAAGGCACAAGATTTTTAAGGACTTCTTTCATTCATAAGACAGTTCAAAGGATACTCATATTGATAATTATTTATAATTGTCCCCTTTTTTATTTATTTACTCGCTTATTTATTTGGGATTTATAAGTTTGTCTATTAATAAACAAAAAATAATTAATTTATTAATTACTGAGGCCTCTAGAATGGATCATAGGTAGCAAGCTATCTTCCCGTGGTGTGGTCCCGGTTTAGATTCCCGGAAGAGACAGAGCTGTAACTTTCCTTGAAAGTCGTCTCAGTTTCTGTACCTGTGTGGCGAAGAAAAGCTCAGGCAGGTGGAGTTAGCTAGTTGCGGTGAAGGAAATACGTCATGTTCGGCACATATCGCTCTTAACCCAAAGCGTGGGAATTAAACTAGGCCCAACCGTGGGTGACAGCGTTAGCTAGCCGATAAAGCCAGATTATCGACCACAAATACCAAATATAACATACATTTCTTACTTTAAGGCCAAAAGGACATTATCTTTGTGCTAATATTAATACAATATTTTTGTTATAATATATTTCTTTTTCAAATTTTCCAATAACTGCTTCTATAAGTTGTTATTCTAGGTTTATTCATTTATTTTTTTCCTTTCATCAAAACAAGTATTTCACACACACTGAACATTTTTATTTAAAATACTGATGATGCGAGGTTTACGGAAACCTTTTGTCATATTGTTATTAATCAACATATACTCAAATTCACAAGGTGCATGATATCATTTAAAAATTTACAATTTACTGGGTGATACAAAAATCGATCAATTTGTACGAAATATATTTAAAAAATGGGCTGGAATTTTTAGACACAACTTAAATTTTCAAGCATTAAAGATTCTCGCCTTAAATAAGATTTGTGCTTACACTCATTTCACATTTCTCATAATTTAACATAGAATATGAATCATCGGTAACTTACTGAAATACGTATTAATATTACGTATTTTAGTTTTTATGCCATATTGTGAAAAGTGAAAGGGTAAAGATTTAAAGATATGATGTTAATAGTACGTACAATATGCTAGTTTAATTTTTGTGCTAACAAATGTAAAGTTTCGTCGATTGACGAAATTTTCCTATTTTCGACATGTCACAGCATTTTCTGAAAACCACGGACCCAGCACGAAATTTCATGGGAAATTCACTGATGATATTCATTTTTCGATTAGAAGCTTACTTTTTAAAGTTTGTGAAATATTGTAGTTTAATTTTTGTGTAAAAAATGTAAAGTTCCGTCGACCGACGTCGATCGATCGACGAAATTTTCCGATTTTCGACATGTCACGAATTTTTTGAAAACCATGGACCTAGTACGAAAGATTATGGGAAATTCACTGGTGATATTATATTTTCGATTAGAAGATTAGTTTTTTAGAAAATCGAAAAAGGATCGCCATATGCGTCAATTTCTTCCAAAAAGTAGTGAGGAAAATTTCCATTTCAAGCAGATTATGAATGCAAGAGAAACTCTACTTAAAACTCAATTTAACGAACAAAGTACATACAATTTCATATGGGAATTTCAACGCTGTAGCTTTAATAGATTAGCAGATAGAGCCATTTCAATTTGACTATTATTTTACAAGCTTGCAAAATGCGAAAATACAAGGTTTGTAATTTAAGTTTCCTTGAGGCCACATTTCTCATCCATTTATGACAAATGACAACATTTTCTAAAACTACAAGATTTTAAAAATTCATCTGTGTCTGTAGAGTTGATTTATGTTACATAGTTTGTGAAATACGGTGGTTTAACTTTTGTGTTAAAATTTTAAAGTTCCGTCGATCCATGAATCGACAAAACTTTACGATTTTTGACATCAGTGCTGAAATTAATATTTTTCGAAATTTGCGCACGTAAGGATTGTCGTTTTGTAACTTGAAAAATAGAGCTTCCTTTTGTTTCTCGTCTATATCGGAAAATATTCGTCTGATTGGAGTTTGCTTTGCACCAATTCATTTCTCTTAAAGTGCTCTACTTGAATACAGAATTACAGATAGCACTACTGATATTAATACTTTTCGAATTTTGACACGTTAGGGGGGAGTAGTTTTGTAACTTGATCAATTGAGGTTTCTTCTTTCTTGTCTATCTCGGAAACTATTTGTCTGATTGGAATTGGCTTTGCACTAATCACTTTCTTTTAAAGTGTTTTACTTGTATACAGAATTAGAGATAGCAGTGCTGAAATTAATATTTTTCGAAATTTTGCACGTAAAGGGGGTTGCTTTGTACTTTGCACAATTGAGTTTCTTTTTGTTTTTCGTCTATTTCGGAAACCATTCGTCTGATTGAAGTATGCTTTGCACCAATCAATTTCTTTTAATGTTTTTACTTGTATACAGAATTACAGATAGCAGTGCTGAAATTAATATTTTTCGAAGTCTGGCACATAAGGGGGGGTCGTTTTGTACTTTGCACAATTGAGGTACCTTTTGTTTTACTTCTATCTCGGAAACTATTCGTCTGATTGGAGTTTGCTTTGCGCCAATCCATCTCTTTTAATGTGTTTTACTTGTATACAGAATTAGAGATAGCAGTGCTGAAATTAATATTTTTCGGCATTTGGCACGTAACGGGGGTCGTTTTATACTTTGCACAATTGAGGTTCCTTTTGTTTTTCGTCTATTTTGGAAACTATTCGTCTGATTGGAGTTTCCTTTGCACCAATCAATTTCTCCTAATGTGTTTTACGAGCTAATGTGTTTTACGTTTTATGTGTTTAATGAAAATGTCAAAAGTTTCGCTGTAAACGGCATTTTCTTTCAAAAAGTAAGGTAGAACATTTCCATTTGAAGCAGGTTAGGAATATGTGAGAAACTCGACTTAAAACACAATACAAAGTTTTTAATTTAAGTTTCCTTGAGGCCACATTTCTCATCCGTATATGACAAATGACGACATTTTCTAAAACTACAAGAATGTAGAAACTCACTT